ATTATTGGCCATTAATTTGATGGTTAACTCTACGGCATTTGTTTTTGCACTGATTTTTTCTGTAAATTTAAATAATAAATTGAAAAATCAGTTAAAGTTAAATGAATCGCTTGAAGAAAGTCAAACGTAAAACATTACTACAACAACAATAACAACAAACTTTTGATTTTTTTCATTAGTGTTATCAAACAACATATTATTATCAAATAATAAATATATTTTTTAAAATCTATAATCTTTTAATAAAATATATTTATGTATTTATTATTATATTATTATTATATTATTATTATACTAATTATTTATTGTGAAACTATGTTTAATAATAATAATAATAATTAATTTATTGCATATCTATACGGCTATCGTTTAATGCTTATATAATAACAATATATTATTGGCAAAACATATTTTTTATAGTTACAATTATTATTATTTAAAGTATTAATAAAAATATAGTTATTCAACAATTTTTTTTATATAATTATATTTATAATTTATAATTTAAAATATATAAATATTATAAAATAAGGGATTACTTGATATAAAAAGTTTGAGACCTTGTATTTAACCTTCAATTTTAAAAATATAATTCAATTTAATCAAAACATCAACTTTTTATAGTATCGAAAAATACCTATACTAATAATATATTATTTATTTGTTAATAATTTCAAAACACACATAAAAATATCTAAAATTGTATTAATTTAAACATTTCTTAATAAAAATGCTAATTTTTACTAATATGTAAAACAAATTTTATATTTTTAAAAATCTAATTGAAAAGCTTGTAATTTATTAAATATACAAATTTTGTCGTTTAATATATTAATGATTGTCTTTGAAAATTAAATTATTTTAACTTTTTATTATTATTATTATCTTTTGTTTTATTAATGTTCATTAAATGCATGAATAAATTGTTAAATGGCATCTCAACAGTAATGTGTATAATAAAGCCAACAATCAATGACAATACAATAAATCCGATTATATTTACAACCTGTATGACAATAAAAGTATGAAATATTAATAATTTATTTTTACAAAATATGTAATTTTTTAATTAAAATAAATATTTATTAAAAAAAATATCAATAATACCACAAAAAGATTGGGAATTTTGTTGATATCAACTCTAGCTGTTTGCAAATGATATCTAATGAGCTCAATGTTGATCATTGTGGCCGCAAAACTTATTTTACTTAAACGTTTGTTGGATAGTTTGTTAAATATTGTAAACATTTTTAGAGGACCTGAATGATATGATAGAAAAATATTAAACATTATATATATCTATATACATATTAATTAAAAGTAGTTATACCAGAAATAACAAAATTAAATATAATATAATGAGTATATTAAAAACCTTTATTTCCTTTTGTGAGACACAATGTTATCCAACAAATTGAAAGCATAAATAGTAATCTCATATAAGCGGAATAATATATCAATAATTGTGTACTAATGGGCCAATTCATGCCATTTAATAGATATGTAGAAAATATACATCCAATAGCTAACAATGACATCAATATTGATATAATATTTTGGCTGAACTGTTAAAAAAAAATATTTGTATAGTATAATAATAGTTTATGAACAAATAAATTAAAAATCAATGAATTAAATTATTATACTAACATCACTTAATGTAATTTTATTAATCTTGATAATTACATAACCAGTAATAATACCCATAAAATATTCAGTTAAATGTGAATATGTGGAGCAATGGCTTATATGAACCATCATTGTCTCAGCTAATCTATTTAAAAATGAAAAATAATATTTTTAATTAAATTTATTTTAAAAAAACAAAATTATTATAATTATTACATTCCGGCATTGACTCCCCGGACAATAGGCGGTGAAATACTGTAATATACGGTCAAAATTGCTGGTATAATCAAACCCAAAGCAATCCATAAGAGTGAATATATCAAACCATAGCTAAACTTTTTGGCCAACAAATACAGTGCAAAATAAGCCAAAATGTATAGTTGAAAGTCGGCTGACATAAACCATGTGGATGTTGCACACTATCAAACAGTTTATTGAAACATCACAAACTATAGTATCAAATAAAGTATAAACTGCTTATTACCATTTGAGGACAGGGATCATAGTTTTGAATAAATAAAAATTGTTTCCACAATCGTTGGTCACAGTTGTCGATCTGTTCGTTATAGTAATACTTAAAGGCCGGACCCGTACCCAACAATACAAACAATATATTAAACGATATGGTGATCCATAAAACAGGACTAAGTCTTGGTTATAAATTTAATAAAAGATTTACAACTTTATAATATAAATTAAAATAATACAATAGTCTATGTATTCATAACTGATAATAATGATTATAATAATAAAAATAAATTAAATACCTAATATATCTTGCAATCAAATATAGACTAAACGGAGGGCGCCGTTGTTTTTCAAAAAATTTTAATCCCGATATTACAGTGAGAGTACCACTTAATTTTTAAAATATAAAAATTGATTAAAACTTAACACATACCATAAATCATAAATAAATTATTTGATTATTTACCTCATATAAAATACAAGTGCTGTAAAAACTGCTGTATTCATCATAATTTGTGAACTAAAATCTTTGCCAATTTCGGTCAATATTTTATGTTTATCTTTAATATATAAACATAATTATGATTAGCAAAATTTAAATATATTTATTTATATAATTTATATCAACTAACATGTTTTAATTGAAAACGATAGCAAACCGTTTAAAAATATATGACTTGTAATGACATAAATTAGAAAAAATAGTTTTAGAAAATCAAAAATTCTCAGATCTAATGCCGGAATTTTGTTTGTATTATTGTCGGCAAAAAATTTATTGTAATTTTTTCTAATTGAAAATGAATTAATTATTGAACCCAATTTGCCCATTTGATCTGGATCATTACTGTATAAATAGTCAACAAATAAAGTCAATATATGCATAACCAGTATGAATGCAAGATAATATCTAGGGTTGTAAAAAAATTAATTTTAATAAAATTCAATATATTAAATATAATAGCTATAAAATGATTACATCATTATTTCCTGTGAAATTGAAACTTTTGGTTGTTTTTCGAGTCGATGATAGCAATCAATATCACTGACATCTATATCAATATGTAATTGATTTGTAACTTATATGATTGAAATGAAAAATTACTTTAAATATTTAGTTTCAGAAAACAAAATAATAATAATAATAACTTAAATAAATTATCAATTAATATATAATTGATTTCATTATTATAGTATTAATTCATACATTGTTTTAATATCTGTTTTAAGTCATTAGGCGTACAGACAGATGGTATACAAAAAGCATTTTGTAGGACAGGTTTGACCATTTGGCCGAATGTCCACAACGAACGGTTCTGAAACGTATCGTTTCCGTATTGGACACTGAAGTCGAGGTCCAGCCGAAACTTTGGCGTACAATATTGGCCAACAAATTGCCGATTGCTTGAGTCTCCGGTATCGACGGCAATGCATTCATCAAAATCGCCTAATGATCCGTACGTACCGTCCATAAAACCGACTGGAAAGTGACCCCAGGAATCAAATACTTGAATATAATACAAATATAACAAATAAATAGTTAAATATATATATTGTATTATGTAATCTCATTTCTAATAAATTTAATCATACATTGAATGGCCCACCATTTCATTTTGAACGCCTCCTGAAATGTATAGTGAATTGATTGCAAACATTGATCAGTTATTTCTTCATTAATCTCTAAAACATTCAAAACAGGAGTCACTTTACTCTCAATTATTTTAATTATTGATTTAATATTATTATCCAATATTTGTTCATTTTTGTTAAATTTAGCATTAATTATATTTAAATATGAAATAATTAACAAAATTATAAATAGTTTTTTAGCCATCTTTTTTAATAAGATTAATTTTAATTTGCTAATATAGTCTAATAATAAAATAAATTAATAATATAACTTTTATTATATTAACTTATAAACTAACTGAATTATTATATATATATTATAAAAGTAGAGGTAGTTATTAATAATTTTAAATATGACAAAAATTACAAGGAAAAATTTATTGCACAAAAATTATATATATATATATACATATATTTATTTATATATATCAATATACCATGCATTTAAATATTATATATTAAATAATTTATAATTTTAATGATTGTATTTAAAAATTAAATTATTTTAACTTTTTATTATTATTATTCATATTATTCTCTTTTGTTTTATTAATGTTCATTAAATGCATAAATAAATTGTTAAATGGTATCTCAACTGTAATGTGTATAATAAAGCCAACAATCAATGACAATACAATAAATCCAATTATATTTACAACCTATACGATCATTAAAAAAATTTCATAATATATAGAAATTAATAATTTTTAAAGAAAATTATTGTGAATAATACCGTAAAAAGATTGGGAATTTTGTTGATATCAACTCTAGCCGTTACCAAATGATATCTAATGATCTCAATGTTGATCATTGTGGCCGCAAAACATATTTTACTTAAACGTTTGTTGGATAGTTTGTTAAATATTGTAAACATTTTTACAGGACCTGAATAAAAACATTATATAAATATATATATATATTTATAAATTATATTAGTATTAATTAACAGTTGCTAAAAAAAGGTAAAAACAATATTTTTTATATAATATATATATATATATTTGTATAAATATCAGGGTTAATCAGCAAGGGGTAGGGGGTAAGTCCAAAATATCTATTAAGATAGAGATTTTGGGATTTTTACTCACTATACCCCCTAAAATCCTAAACTTTGGTTAAATCCTGATATACTTTATATTATATTATTATATTAAAACCTTTATTTCCTTTTGTGAGACACAATGTTATCCAACAAATTGAAATCATAAATAGTAATCTCATATAAGAGGAATAATATATCAATAATTGTGTACTAATGGGCCAATTCATGCCATTCAATAGATATGTGGAAAATATACATCCAATAGCTAACAATGACATCAATATTGATATAACATTTTGTGTAAACTAGAAAAAAAGTAACAATTTTTAGAAATAGTTTATGAAAATAAAATCATTTATAAAATACTAACATCACTTAATGTAATTTTATTAATCTTGATAATTACATAACCAGTAATAATACCCATAAAATAATCAGTTAAATGTGAATATGTGGAGCAATGGTATATATAAGCCATATTAGTCTCAGCTAATCTATTTAAAAATGAAAAATAATTTTAATAGTAATATTTATTTTAAAAACAAAATTATTATTAGTATTATAATTTTTATTATTACAATCCAGCATTGACTACCCGGGCAAAAGGCGGTGAAATATTATAATATACGGTCAAAACTGCTGGTATAATCAAACCCAGAGCCGTCCATATTAGTGAATATATCAAACCATAGCTAAACTTATTGGCCAACAAATACAATGCAAAATAAGCCAAAATGTATAGTTGAAAGTCGGCTGACATAAACCATGTGGATATAGCACACTGTAAACAGTTTAGTGAAATATAATTTAGTATAATTAAAATCGTTTAAAGTTTAGGAAATAATTACCATTTGAGGAACGGGATCATAGTTTTGAATTAATAAAAATTGTTTCCACAATCTTTGGTCGCAATTGTCGATCTGTTGGCTATAATAGTCTTTATATGTCGGACCCGTACCCAAAAATGCAAACAATATATTAAACGATATGGTGACCCATAAAACAGGAGTAAGACTTATATTTTGAATATAAAAAAATAATTTAAAATAATTTAATTTGATAATATAAATGGAAAAAATGATACAATAGTATAGCACTTATTAATGATAATAACAATAATAACAAATTAAATACCGAATATATCTTGCAATCAGATATAGACTGAACGGTACGCGCCGTTGATTTTCAAAATATTTTAGTCCCGATATAACAGTGAGAGTACCACTTAATTAAAAAAAATTGAATAACAATTAAAAATAAATTATAGTAATTAATGATTAATAATTATTTGCAATTGTTTACCTCATATAAAATACAAGTGCTGTAAAAACTGCTGTATTCATCATAATTTGTGAACCAAAATCTCTGCCGATTTCGTTTAGTATTTTGAATTTATCTTAAATTTAAATATTATTATTATTATTATAATTATATATATTTGTATAATAACTTACATGTATTAATCTGAAACGTCAGCAAACCATTTAAAAATAAATGACTTATGATTACATAAATTAGGAAAAATATTTTTAGAAAATCAAAAATTCTCAGATCTAATGCCGGAATTTTGTTTGTATTATTGTCGGCAAAAAATTGTTTGAAATTTTTTCTAATTGAAAATGAATTAATTATTGAACACAATTTTCCCATTTGATCTGGATCATTACTGTATAAATAGTCAATGAGTAAAGCCAATATGTGCATAACCAGTATAAATGCAAGATAACATCTAGGGTTATAAAAAAAATAATTTTAATAAAATTCAATATATTAAATAAAATAGCTATAAAATGATTACATCATTATTTTCTGTGAAGTTGAAACTTTTGGTTGTTTTTCGAGTCGATGATAGCAATCAATATCACTGACCTCCACATCAATATGTAATTGATTTGTAACTTATATGATTGAAATGAAAAATTACTTTAAATATTTAGTTTCAGAAAACAAAATAATAATTATAACTTATATAAGATTATCAATTAATATATATAATTGATTTCATTATTATAATATTAATTCATACATTGTTTTAATATCTGTTTTAAGTCATTAGGCGTACAGACAGATGGTATACAAAAAGCATTTTGTAGGACAGGTTCGACCATTTGGCCGAATGTCCACAACGAACGGTTCTGAAACGTATCGTTTCCGTATTGGACACTGAAGTCGAGGTCCAGCCGAAACTTTGGCGTACAATATTGGCCAACAAATTGCCGATTGCTTGAGTCTCCGGTATCGACGGCAATGCATTCATCAAAATCGCCTAATGATCCGTACGTACCGTCCATAAAACCGACTGGAAAGTGACCCCAGGAATCAAATACTTTAATATAATACAAATATAACAAATAAATATAGTGTTATATATAATCATATTTTATAAATTTAATCATACATTGAATGGCCCACCATTTCATTTTGAACGCCTCCTGAAATGTATAGTGAATTGATTGCAAACATTGATCAGTTATTTCTTCATTAATCTCTAAAATATTCAAAACAGGAATCACTTTACTCTCAATTATTTTAATTATTGATTTAATATTATTATCCAATATTTGTTCATTTTTGTTAAATTTAGCATTAATTATATTTAAATATGAAATAATTAACAAAATTATAAACTGTTTTTTAATCATGTTTTATTTAATGAAATTAATTTTCATCTGCAAATATAGCAAATTATATAAATAGTATATTATAAAAATAAAATTAATATTTATAGTTATAGTTATGAATACATGCAATAGTCTACTATATAGTAGTTTTTAATTAATTTTAAATTTGACAAAAATCACAAGGAAAAAATATTGCATAAATACATTATATATGATTATATATATTATATTATATATACACATATTTATTTAATTTGTTAAACATAATTAATTTAATGTATATAATTTAAATAGTTTCAATGAAGTTTAAAAGCTATATTTTAGCATTTTAAATTTATTGTATTCATATAGCTATTAAAAAATGTCACAAAAATTAGCAATTTGTATGTTTTGCCCGTAGAAATTTGTAAATTATGTTATTTTTAATTTTGTGTTTTTTTATTTATGCCTATAATGTACAGTACTTGTATTGCTAGATTGCATAATAGTTTTTAAATTTATAAATATTTTTTATTGTTAAATTATACAATTAGTATTAGACTATAATAATAATATCGAACAATTTAATAAATATAGATTTAATATACTTTTTATATACTAAGATTATATATATCTTTTTAATACATATTATGCACAAAAACTACAGTATTTAATATCCATTATAAATATTTATTATAATTTTATTACAATGTAATTATAAGTGTAAAGTTGTAATATACGGTGAAGATTGCATACACAATTTTTTTAAATTACTAAATTTTTTTGCAATAGTGTGTATTTTATTTGTAAAATGTATTTTAATAATACATTAATTTACTGTTAATACTATTTTTTATAACAGGTAATATATATAACAGATAATTTTTTTAGCACATTAATTACCAATTATTTGATATTTTAATTTTAATTTATAAAATAATTATTACAATTAAAAAACATTTTTACTAACTACTGAATTTTGTTATTTACTGTATTTATGACTTATATTTTGGGTTATTTTATTTGCAACAAAAAAAATATGTAAATTACTAAATTTGATTGATATTGTTATTACAATACTATTGTATCGAAAAAATTATAGCCAAATACTAGTGACACCACTAGTATGACAATCCTAACAAAATCCATTGTTGACGATGGACTCACTATTGTGGACATTGACGGTAAAAAGTAGTCCAGACCAATCAGATCGCACATCAAATAACCGATAAAATACAATAACAACGACAAAAATATTAGCCAACAAGTGTTTAGTATATGATATTTAAACGAAACTCTTATAATAATTTTTTTAAAAAATTATTAAATAAAAAAACAAAAATATAATTATAAGAATAAGCAATAATTGAAATTTTTTTTTATAAAAAATTGTTAAAAATATATATACTTTTGGAGTATTTTCTTAGCTTTAATTACATCCTCATCTTCTTGACCTTCATTGAGTAAATGTCGTTTAAGACCTGACCACATGGTTTCGCAGTAGACTTGCCAATCAATTTGTCGGATATCAAAACAAAACAGCAGTCTATCAGTTACCGACATTTGGTCGATAAGTGCAAACGTATTGGTGGTCTCATACTCGGGACATGTCTTCATAAATCTGCGAATATCTTTCATCGTTTCATTCATTTTATTGGTAATCTTAAGCAGCTTTGTCTGTACGCCAAACAGTTTGGCCCCGAAGTCCAATATGTAGGCATAGATCCAGTGTTTGATATAGATTTCAATAAACAATTGCAATTTGTTTTTGGGATATACCAGTCCGTACGGCGGTCTTATCACACGTTTTGATGGATACTTCAGTGAATTTTGTCGGACTAATTTCATAATGAAGCGCATGGACGGCGAATAATCGCTATTAGTTGTTAAGTGATAGACCTGGATATTGTCAGCACTGGTAGATAATATGGAAATAGGTTTTTTTTAAAAAAATATTATATATAAACAAATATAGCAATTAAATAGTTTTTATAGTTTTACCTTTTTGTGGTTAAATACCAAACGCCGGCAATGATAGCATTGGCCACAAAATCAACGGGAATAACAACTTGAGCACCGAGTCGTCGCGACGGAAACACTTTCATGAGTCCAATGCCGATGGCCAGTATGGCTGATGACGTTCCTTGAATGCCCTGTACCCAACCGGGCTCCGGCTCGGCGTTAGAGGTTAATATAGCTGACGGCCTGACAACACAGATCCTAAGCCAATCCCGTTCCCGATGAAGCAATTGTTCGGCCAATACTTTTGATATACAGTAGGTATTGTTAAACTCATGGAAAAACATTTTTTCCAATTTGTTTAGCTCTTTGTCCGTACAGTTGTCGCAGGCCTTTATCACCTGTTCTGGAGTTATCAACTCTAACGGATGGATCCGTTCGTTGCAATATTTTGTACCATTCAATATGGCTGTCGTCGACACATATGTCAAACAATCCAGTTGTTTGATTTGATGGCATAACTCGATCAACGAGATAATTGGTCGCACGTTATGCTCGACTGCATACCGTAGCGGTGAATGAAGCTTAACAGTGGCGGCCACATGTATGACAACATTGATCCGATCGATTAGCAGCTGTCGATCTGAATCGTTGATACCAAATCCGGGTTGTGATGTGTCGCCAAAGATCGGATAGATTTTATTACAAACACCGGACTGTTTCAAACCATTCAAACTAAATATGGGATCAGATATGTACTCATCTGATCGTTCTTTAGCTGACTTTCCTTTTTTCTGTCGCATAAGAATATATATACCGTCCAATCCATGACAGGCTCGCAAATATTTTTCAATCAATACCTTAAAGTGTGATTTTCGATGATTAATACAAAAAAAATTTACAATAATTATATACATTTAAATAAATAATAATTTATAATTCAAATAATCGATTGCATACTTTGCCTAATAGACCGGTAGCGCCGGTAATAAAAATATTTTTATTAGAATAAAAATTGCAAATATCGGATATCATTGAAATTARTATTAATAATAATATTATTAGTATTATTAGTATAGACTTTCAAAATATTATGACATTGGTTTGTCTTCAAATTAGTAAATATATATATTTTTGTACAATAAAAAAATATTTAAATATTTAAATGCAAATTTATCTTAAAATGTTTTTCATTTAAAATATTAATAATAATTATGATATATAAATATAGTAAACAATATTATTATTTTCGTATTTATGATGCAAACAAAATTTAATAATAAAAGTGAAATTTTCCATAATATAACTTTCCTCAAGTTTTTTTTACACAAATTATTGTTATGATGTAATAGAATACTAATAATAATAATTTAAAAATATAGTTATTTTATCAAATAATGACAAACATTTTTTTTAAAAAGCAAACATAAAAAGTAAATTTATTCCAATATTATTCAAATAGCTTTTTAAAAAAAATGCCTGAAACACATATTTGTTGTTTTTTAAAAAAATCCAGTATATAATATTATAATTTTTAAGAATTTTAATATCTATCATAGTTTATTATATAGATATGGACCATCCCTGTCCTTGCATACCTGAGCCCAATTGCACACACACAAAAATTATTGTACCAAAGTAGTCTTTCCAACAATAAAAAACAATAGTTGTGAATAAAATATTTTATTTGGTTTTAAAGTTGTTATCACTTCTACAGTAAAGATATACACAAAAAACCTTATTCACCAATTTTGTGACCGATTGTATATTTAAGTATTTAATTATAATTATATATTCACCGATTTACAGGTATTATTTAGCCGTAAGTTTAAGTGCAATACAATAGTAAAACGCAATGCATGTGAATATCCAGAAAAATATGAATAATATATAATGATATATGCAGTTAACGACATAAAAATATCAGCTTTTTATTGTAAATAAATTTAGTATATAATTAAAATTTTCAAATAATATTTTTAACAAAATTTTAAAAATTGCAGTTATAAATTATTAATTTTTTAAAAACAAAATAAACCAACTAAAATAGTTAATTTTGAAAAATATTAATAAAATAACCACAAAAAAAATATTTGAATAATATTTGAATAATTTTAAAGACTTTTATTTTCTTCTTTTTGATGATTTCTCGGTTTTCTTTCGGTAATTGATTTCAGAATTGCCATCAAATTAGCCGTCGGACCACTTATTAGCAAATAAAACGGCACCGAAATTATCAATGTTATTATATAATCAGCCAAAGACATTGTCCACTGATATATATATATGTATGTAAATCATATATTTATGTTGTAATTTAATTAAAAAAAAACAATATTAATTATCKTTTATTATATTTAGTCAAATTACTGTATATTAAAAAATTTATAAAACAATTTCTAACCACATAATAATTTGTATAAACCACGTGATCTCGTGCTATACCAATGCGATAAAATATGACAATTAAATGTAACTAATAAAACAAATAATATAAAAAACTAATTAATAAACAAATTAAAGCCTTAACTATATAATAGCTATTACAGTATATATTACAAACTGTATTAAAAACTTAATAATAAATTAATAATAATTTTGATACAAACCAATGACATTTCAAGCGATAAATTAGTGGTAAATGTAAATCCTTTCCAACCGAGAGTTTTGTTAATAAAATCTGATTTTTAAATTTAAAAAAAAACTTTATAGCATTACATTACATAATTCAAATAGTAATTGATTACCTGCTCGACCAGTAGCACAGGCATAAAATGCCCAAAACCAACCAATAGTATACATATAACGGGATAATAACATATATAGAAATAATTGTTCAGTTGAAAAGGCATAATATTTATGCACAAATAGGTTTGTCCAATAAAGTGAACCCATAGTCAATGTCCACGTTGTCATCCATAATAGTGTTTCACCGATTCGGCCGCCGAGATATAGGTTGGGTTTATTGCGGATCAAATAAGCGCATAGTATACCCATCATATAGGAACAAAAGTGTTGGTCAGCGGCCCAGTAGTAGTGAATCATAAGTTTAGTGATATCCCATATACTAACTACTGGTGGAAGTTCTAAATAGTGAGGAATGTGCCAAATAAATCGTTTTGCCACTAGAAAGAAAGCACCCAATCCTAAAAACATAAGGTTCCACCAAATGGCTAGACGTGGATAACGATATTGAACGAGAAAAACTACCGGTGCTATCAAGAATATTTGAAAATCTGCCGGAATATACCTAACATTTCGATTAGTTTATAACTTAATTATTAAATAACTATAATCAATTAATAACTTTAAAATCTATAGTTACCAACTACTTGGACTGCACTGTAAATTTAAAAAAAAAAACAATATGTAAACCAGTGTAATAAATTTAGAAATAAATTTTTATATATGTTTTAATTTATATATATTTAAAAAAGCATACCAAATATTTTTCAGGAGGCGATAAATCAAAATTGCTTTTCATTGTCAATACAGAAAACCAATTATCACGACACGGGAGATAAAACACACTGGTTATTGATAACCAATTAGGTCCTKTATTAAAATTATATAATCAAAAATATTATTGTATTAATTTTTTTAAATAAAAGTTATTACCATTTCCTATAAGTGGAAATAAATAATAGCAAAGAACAACACCCATTACGGGTGTAATTATACGAAGATATCTGAAAAATTTAATACATTTTTTAAACAAAAATAATAATAAATTTTTAATTGTTTTTTTTAATAGTCTAACCTAAAAAGTACATAATGTATGTAATTGAATGAACCCTTAGACTTGTCTAACTTGGAAAACATCACATAAGAGGTCATCATTCCTGAAATATGRAGATAAAAGCACAGGTATGTAAAAAAAAATTACATTTAACTGTGTGTCTGTTTGTTTGTATTCATGTATTATTTAATTTTACAACAACAACAAAACAATGTATACCCCCGATCATAAAAAACGTATCGATTAGATGTACATTTGTGGCAAACATGTATTTCGATGACCACATCATTTCGGCGCCGACCGATTTGGTGGACGCCTTTGTGTTCACTGGTATAAAGTCTATCCAATAGTTGTGTATAAGTAATACAAGAAATGCAAGAATAGTTCGGAGACCGTCCAGAAAAGCAAACCGATTGTTAGGATTACTGTTTATGAATAAACTTTTGAAATTAGTTATCAATGAAAACGATAGATTCAAWTGGACAGCCAATCGGTCTTTAACGTGGTTTTGTGACCACATTATACGCCATAACTCATATAATGTTGATTTTATTGATAATATTATTAATATCACAAATATTATTCTAAAAAAATAATAATATTAGTAATATATTAAAAATAATAGTAATATTTACATTGCAATCCATTGATGAACATCCAGTTTAATAGGTTTGTCCACTGAATCACATTCAGGTGAAAATACGACCGGCATATGTGTTATCGGTTGCATAACTAAATAAATAAAAAAAATATCTCAATTATAAATTAAAAATATTTGGTTACAATARAGTCAAAAACCTTTATTCATAGCGTATTCAATATCTTGTATTTTACATGTGTTGGGCAAACAAATACCGATCGGTAAATGGCCTTCAAATGTCTTTCCGTAAGACAATAGTGCTATAAAATCGGCGATTATTTCTCGTGTAATTTGAAACTCTTTCATTCGCATTGTTTGATTGAAGTCATCGGTGGAAGAGTTGTGATGTATTTCTTTAAGTTTCTCATTATATTTAATAATATTAATCTCTTTGTTTAGCTGTTCATATGTATCGCCTTTGGCTTCTATGTTGACAATACCGACCCAACAGTATTGTCCYCTAATATGCTGTCCACTCGAATCGTGAGTGCTTTCTAAGCTTAGGCATTCATCGTATCCAATTGATGGTGTGTTTCCCTGATTTAGACCAGACATAGGTGCCGGTAATGTCTGTAAGACTTATAACATATATTTTATTTAGTATTTATTTGTTTGATTAACAATATTTGTTACATTTTATATATTCAATATACAGTATATTTTCCATCACTTTATCATATATGTGACATATTTTTTTAATTTATATTTTTATAAAACACATACAATTTAGTGCCCATTTTTTCCTGTCTTTCACAGCCGATCCTAACTTTATTAACGAAGATAAGCAATCATTTGGTAAATCAATTTCCATCAATAGTTCACTGAAACGAGCTGTCAATCGGTTGACAATCGGTTCATATATTTTGCTGACATTTTTGGCAAAACCCGACATACGATTGAACCGATCAATAGTTTGATTGATGTGTCCAACTCTTTGATAAATTTGTGATCGATTGACAACAGAATAGTCATCGGGAGTAAGAGATTCAAACAAATTATCTAATAATCTATTTAATGAACATTTATCGGGCAAAGAGTTGCCATTATTAACACAATTTGTCAAAACTATAGTACAAAATATTAGAAAAATATATAAATATTTAGAATTCATGATTAAAATAGAATAATAATAGTTTTTATAAAATAAAAAACTAAAAAACTTTTTTTCAAACAGTATTTTTTTAAACTAATAAAAAAATACATTATATATATATATATATGTATATTAATTTAACAAAAAAATCTACATTAATATTTAAAAATAAATATTTAGTGGTTTTTTGTTTTTTTAATAATTACATTGACTATATTTGTAACATTGTAAAGCTTTTAGTATATATTAATACATTGTATACTGTACTGTATTGTTTCAACATATTAAATTTGATTAATATTTTTTTGTTGTTTTGCAATACTTATTATCACACTAGCAATAAATATGTTTTTTTTTAAATATGTTATCGTTAAAAAGTTTATCAAAAATTTATAAAACAGTAATAAACAAAATTATTATTAAAAAATAATAYTAACATAAAAAATAAATTTATATTTATTTGTTTTTGATTTAATAACTTGAAAAATAATAACAATGTTTATAATAATATGGGAGTAAAATTATGCATTTTTTAATTTATACATAATTTTATAGATTTTATTGTATTACAAAAAAATATTGTAATAGATATAATAAATTATGTCATATATTGTCACATATCTATTGGATAATTAAGTATTTGTAAAAATATTTAGTCAACAAATTAGTTGAATACAACAACAAAATGTTTGATTGAGTTATCCTAACCGGATATACAGATCCTAACTCGTATACCAATAAGTCTACAAATGGTTAAAAAAAATTACAATTTCAATTACAATTATTTTTTGTTGTAAAATTTTTATTTATTATTGAATTATATTTAAAGTTTAATGTAAAAAAATAGTGTAGTATTTACTTTGAAAATTTAATTAAAATACTAATACTAATATTTTGCTATTATTTGTAATTATAATGTCTTGTTATCAGATAAAAAAATATCGATAAAACAAACTAAAATCGGGATTATATAAACAGAAATTTCTTATAAAACTTGAAAAGTAAATAATAAAAATAATTAATAAATCTTAAAGACTCTTATTTTCTTACTTTTGTTGATTTTTGGATTTTCATCTCGATCTTAGGGGTGGGTGCAACCCTGATATATATATATATATATATATATATATATATATATATGATTATTTTTTGTTGTAAAATTTTAATTTATAAATCAATTATATTTTTAAGTTTAATGTAATAAAATATAGTATCATAGTTTTTATCTTAAAAATTAATTAAAATAATCATAATAATAATAATAATTAGTTAGTATTTATTTATTATAATGTCTTGTTATCAGATAACAAATATCGAGAAAACAAAATAAAATGTGGATTTTATAGATAGAAATTTCTTTTAGAAACTTTCTAGAAATTATATATATTTTAGAAAATTTTCTTTTCTGCTAACTCTAAAAATAAGTATTGGTTAGACCCTCAATGGTCACAATGGTCTCAATGGTCACATCATGACATAAATAGGTTTAGTCGTTAAAACGGCGCATTAATAATAATTTTGTTTAATTTTTCATTAAAGTTTTTTATTACAATTTAGAAATAACTGTTAAAATTAATACATTAAATGTCAAATTATTAAATTTGAAAGTAAATAAAAAAATAATTAATAAATCTTAAAGATTCTTATTTTCTTCCTTTTGTAGATTTTTGGGTTTTCTTTCTAAACTTGACTTCAAAATTGACAACAAATTAGCCGTCGGAGCGCTTATTAGTAAATAAATCGGTACCGAAAATATCAAAGTTATCATATAATCAGCCAAAGACATTGTCCACTGATATGAATATATTGAATATATAAAATTATTATTTAATATTATAAATATTTTATATTAATATATATATCAATTACTAACCACATAATAATTTGTATAAACCACTCGCTGCCGTGAAATGCCAATACGATAAAATACAATAAGTAAATGAAACTAAAAAAATACATAAATATATAAAATAAAAAACCAAATATAATAAAATAAAAAACTAAATATAATAAAATAAAAAACTAAATATAATATATTAATAAATCAATTAAGATTAATTAATATTTCTCATTTTGTTTTAAAAGACTTAATAATTTAATAATAAATAAATAATTAAAAATACAAACCACACAGATTTCAAGCGATAAATTTGTAGTAAATGTAAATCCTTTCCAACCGAGAGTTTTGTTTATAAAATCTAATTTTTATTAAATTGTAAAAAACATAATAACATAGATTTTATTATATGATTTTGATATTATTAGTTAATTAATTACCTGCTCTACCAGTAGCACAGGCATAAAATGCCCAAAACCAACCAATACTATACATATGTTTGACTAATAATAGATATATAAATAAATGTTGAGATGAAAACTTAAAATATTTATGAGCAAATAGGTTTGTCCAATATATTGAGGCAAAAGTCAATGTCCACGTTATCAGCCAAATCATTGTTTCACCGATTCGGCCGCCAAGATATAGGTTGGGTTTTTTGCGTATTAAATAAGCGCATAATATACCCATCATATAGGATGAAAAGTGTGAATCGGGTCTCCAGTAGTGATAAATCATTGTTGTAGTGTAGTCCCAGAAACTACTCATTTCACGAAATTCAGCCAAATGAGGAATATCCCAAATGAACCTTGGTGCCAAAGTTAATACTGAGCCTATTAATACAAACAATAGACCCCACCAAACAGCTAATCGTGGATAATGATATTGAACGAGAAAAACTAACGGTGCGATCAGGAATAGTTGAAAGTCGGACGTAATTGACCTGATATTTGATTTATAAATTGTTATTTAATTTAATTATTTAATTTTTTATAACTTAACGATACTTACCAAGAACTGGGATTACACTGTAAACAAAAAATAAAATAATTACTTAAATAAAATAATAATTTTATATAAAATATATAAAATAGATATAAAATTATACTATATATTTATCCGGTGGTGTTATATCAAAATTGTTAGTCATTGTGACTACAGGCAACCAATTATCACGACATGGTAGATAGAGGGCATGGGTTATTGGCAACCAATTAGGTCCTGTATTAAAAAGAAATTTACTAATGAATGTATATTTTTTAATAACATTTAATTAGTTGTTTATTACCATTTCCTAAAAGAGGTAATAAAAATATACATAAAATAATAGCTATTGAAGGCGTAACGATACGGATATATCTAATATTGAAACCACAAAAAAAATAATTATAGAATAATTTTATATTAAATAAAAATAAGCAAATCTAACCTAAAAAGCACATAATTTATATAATTGAAAGCACCGTTAGATTTGTCTAATTTGGAGAAAACCACATAACAAGTCATCATTCCTGGAATAGAACCGGACATATAGTTTAAAATTATTATTTTTTAAAAAGTTATTTATATGTGCTATTAAATTGTTAATTATATAGTTACCGCCAATCATGAAAAAAGTATCAATTAGGTTGATATTAGTGATAAACATATATTTAGATGACCACATAATTTGGGCGCCGACAGATTCAGTGGACAACTTTGTATAATAAGGCAAAAAGTCTATCCAATAGTTATGTAATAGTAAAACAAGAAATGCAAGAATCGATCGGAGACCGTCCAGAAAAGCAAACCGATTGTTAGGATTACTATTAATGAATAAACTTTTGAAATTAGATATCATTGAAAACGATAGATTCAATTGAACACTCAATCGGTCTTTCATATGATTATATGACCACATTATGCGCCACAACTCATATAATGTTGATTTAATTGTTAATATTATTAATATCACAAATATTATTCTAATATACAAAAACATTATTAATATAACAAAAGACAAATATTATTCAATTATTATGAATTTATAAAAAAATTATTTATATATAAATACTTACATTGCTATCCATTGGTGAACATTAACTTTCATAGGTTTGTCTACTGAATCGCATTCAGATAAAAATACAATTGGCATTTGTGTTATCGGATACATAACTGAATAAAAATTTAATAATAATTATGAAAATATTTTATGACAAAATTTTTTTTTAAAAAAACCTTTATTCATAGCGTATTCAATGTCTTGTATTTTACATGTGTTGGGCAAACAAATACCGGTCGGTAAATGGCCTTCAAATGTCTTGCCGTAAGTCAGAAGTGCAATAAAATCGGCGACCATTTTTCGACCGATTTTAAAGGTTTTGACTCTAACCGTTCTGTTAAAGTCATCGGTGGTAGACTTGTGATGAAATTCTTTAAGATTCTCATTTAATTTAATAATATTAATTTCTTTGGTCAGCTGTTCATATGTATCGCCTTTGGCTTCCATATTAACAATACCGACCCAACAGTATTGTCCCCTAATATGCTGTCCACTCGAATCGTGAATGCTTTCTAATCTTAGGCACTCATCGTATCCAATTGATTGTGTGCTTCCCTGAATTAGACCAGATATAGGCGCCGGAAATGTTTGTAAAACTTATTGCATATAATTATAGTAAGATTATATATTAGATATTAATATTCATTATATCATTGAATTTTTTTTATTATAAATGCAATTAATTTAAAAAAATTACATACAATTTAGTGCCCATTTTTTCCTGTCTTTCACAGCCGATCCTAACTTTATCAACGAAGATAAGCAATCATTTGGTAAATCAATTTCCATCAATAGTTCACTGAAACGAGCCGTCAATCGGTTGATAATCGGTTCATATATTTTGCTGACATTTTTGGCAAAATCAGACAAACGATTAAACCGATCAATAGTATGATTAATGTGTCCAACTTTTTGATAAATTTGCGATCGATTAGCCACAGAATAGTCATCGGGAGTAAGAGATTCAAACAAATTGTCTAATAATCTATTTAATGAACATTTATCGGGCAAAGAGTTGCCATTATTAACACATTTTGTCAAAATTATAGTACAAAATATTAGAAAAATATATAAATATTTATAATTCATGATTACAAATATACTATTATTAGCTTACAATTTAATTTGATAGACAAATAAATGCTTTATATACTATATGTAAAATCTTTTGAAAACTTTATTTTTTGTTTTTTAAGGTTTTTTGTATTAACAATATTTTTCTTTATTCAAAAAATTTATTGAAAATTTATACATTGTATTTTTTTATATTATAATTTAATATTTAAATTTAATTAATTTAAATAATAATAATAATATTTAGAAAGTATTACGGATTAAATAAAACTTTTAAATCTTAATTAATTTAAGATTTTATCATTATTATTCTTATAATTCTATTATTCAATTTAATTTAATTAAAAACCAGTTGAGAATGCTAAGTATAGCATTGTCAAACAGAATTCTGGATTTATTTTTATTTTGATAATAAAAATTATCTAATGATATATGCGGTATAATGTAGTCTAAGATATTTTGAATTATCAGATAAGGATTAGCAAATACATAGATTAATTAATGGATAAATAAAAAATTTTTAATGAGGTGAAGTATCAAATAGTTTTACTTTATCTTTAGATCTAAATGGATAAATTAGACTTAGAGTTAGGAAAATCAATGATCATTAATACAAAAAATATTTGTATTTATCATCAACTTTTTTGCAATATATTTAAAATTGTATATACGATATTACTAATACTAAAACTGTACTTAAAACTCTAATTGTATTTATTTTTTTAACAATTTTATATCAAAATTTGCATTTTTAAAAAAATGCAGACATAAGAAATTCAATTTTTAAAAATTTTATATTAATTTATTATTTTGAAAAATATTAACATAACGTTTTTTTGCTATTCTATCTAATTAGTCTGTTTATAAACTTTTATTTTGACATATTTATTAATTGAATATATTAAACATTTATTACTAAAAATAAAGTACATTTTATGATTTTCTATATAATTTATATGTTTTTTAAAAAGTTAATTGTATTTAACGTCATAAATATATATTTTGAAATAATTAAGCAATCAATGTCATAACAATACTATATTTTATATAAGAATATCCATATTAACAAAAACAATATTAAAAAATAATATAAATATGATATATTTATATTACTTATTTGTTTTGCATTTTATAACTGGAAAAATAATAACATTGTATATAATAAATTAAAGGGAAAAAATTACATTTTATAATTTTAATTTATATAAATTTTATACACTTTCTGATGTATGAATCATAGAGTATTTAAAATTAATAAATCTAATTGTATTAATTGAATATAACTATAATTAGCAGAAACAATAGCAAAAATTATTTATAAAAGCAAAACTAATATTAGTATAGTATTAGCAAATGTTTATATTGATTTTCAATTGATATAATTAAGCGTCTCAATAATAGTAAATGAGTTAACAATATTTCTGTATTATTAGTAATTATGATAATTTTCAATTATTAGTTTTTTTGTTAGCAAATTACTGGCGTATAATCATTTTGTAAATTATTTTTTTTCATAAATTGAATATATTTTGTAATGCATTTGTAGATCTATAAAAGCAACTCTTTATTAATAGTATTGATAATCAGTTTAAGTTTAAACATTTTAGTGTGCAGTTTGTTAACTAAAAAAAAAGTTAGCTTACAGTGCAAACTTGTGTAATCCCATGTTTGCCTCCTATATCATACAATACAGTATATCTACAGTATTTTATTAATATATATTTATCTATTGTAATTTTATAATTAAAATTATATCTATAAATAGTTGTGTAAATAAATTAATTTGTTAATTATTAACAATAATTGTGTTATGTTTAGCCATTGAAACAACTAATATTACAGTAAAGTAATAGTGTTTGATTTGGACAACTTATCCAAACCCGAGTACCAAACACTACCAGTTTTTACTCAATATGAATGTGTAGGACAGTTACCAGATTGACTGTACGGAGCAACCAATAAAAAATACAGTAACTATAAAATGTTTTTTTTTAAAAATAAATATAATTAAAAATAAATAGCGTTTTTTGTGTTTATAAATTATAACTGTGTCGTCACTTTCATTATTACTGAACATATTGATCATACATTTGGTTAATGTATTAAACAACATGTTTATACATTAATTGTCAATAATATAAATTTATATTAATTGCCAAATAGTAATAGTATATTATTAGCATAGATAAGCATTGCTTTGTCTTTTTATTGGTAACACCATAACAGCCAAAAAACAGCATTTTATTAAATTTTTATTTAAACTTTTATTGATATTTAAAAATTATTATAAATACTAATACATATTAAATAAAAATTAGTAATTTTCAAAATGAATACAATTATATAAAATATATAAGAAATTATTTTTAAAAAATATTTAGATAATTTATCGATTTTATTTAAATAGTTTACTAAAAAAAATTAAAATATTATTTTACAAAATGCCTATATTATTATATAACTTTATATTAACATACTTGACTAATAAATATTATGATTATTTCAGTAAAATCAAAATGTTATTTAAAATAATAAACATTTTATATGTAGTTTTTATTACAAATAATATATAATAAAATAACAAAATAAAAGAATAAATTAATTATTATATGACAAAAAAAATATTTTTTTAAAAACTAATCTAAAAATACTTAAATAATTTTTAAAGACTTATTATCTTTTTGTTGATTTTTTTGGTTTTCTTTCTACACTTGACTTTAAAATTGACAACAAATTAGCCGTCGGAGCGCTTATTAGCAAATAAAACGGTATCGAAATTATCAAAGTAATCATATAATCAGCCAAAGACATTGTCCACTAATATACATGTATTCAATAAATATTATTAATTAAATAATATATTAGTAATATATTAATATTTAGAAAATATATTAAAATAAATGTATAAAACAATTGCTAACCACATAATAATTTGTATAAACAACGTGTTCTCGTGCAATACCAATGCGATAAAATAAAACAATTATATGTAACTAAAAAAAATACAAATAATAAAATTAAAAACTATTAAGTTTTAGAACAAAAATTGTTAAATTAAATATTTTTATTTATTAATAATTTTTAGAGACAAACCAAAGACATTTCAAATGATAAATTTGCAGTAAATGTAAATCCTTTCCAACCGAGAGTTTTGTTAATAAAATCTAATGTTTCAATTTGAAAAATAAAACTTAATAACTTTACAGTATGTATGTATATATATAATTCAATTAGTAAATAACTACCTGCTCTACCAGTAGCACAGGCATAAAATGCCCAAAACCAACCAATACAATACATATATTTACCAAATAACATATATAGAAATAATTGTTGCGTTGAAAATGTATAATATTTGTGAAAAAATAGGTTTGTCCAATAAAGTGAACCCATAGTCAATGTCCACGTTGTCAGCCATAATAGTGTTTCGCCGATTCGGCCGCCGAGATATAGGTTGGGTTTATTGCGGATCAAATAACCACATAAAATACCCAACATATAGGAACTGATGTGTTGGTCAGCGCCCCAGTAGTATTGAATCATAAGTCTAGTCATATCCCATATACTAACTACTGATGGAAGTTCAAAAATATAAGGAATGTGCCAAATAAATCGTTTTGCCACTAGAAAGAAAGCACCCAATCCTATAAACATAATGTTCCACCAAATGGCTAGACGTGGATAATGGTATTGAACGAGAAAAACTACCGGTGCTATCAAAAATATTTGAAAATCTGCCGAAATATACCTTGAATATATCAATTTGTTATCATTTTTTTAAAAATATTTAATTAGTAGGTAAATAATTTATTAATTAAATAAATATTTAGTTAATACTTACCAACCACTAGGATTGCACTGTAAACAAAAACAAATATAAAATATTAAAACAAATTATATATGATATGTAGATATATATATATATATATATATATATATATAGATTTATATATTAATTAATATATACCAAATATTTTTCAGGTGGTGATACATCATAATTACTTTTCATTGTCAATACAGACAACCAATTGTCTCTACATGGTAGATAAAATGCATTGGATATTGGTAACCAATTAGGTCCTAATTAAGATTATTTTAATAATTTTAATTGACATTATTATTATTATTGTTATTAATATTATTACCATTTCCTAAAAGTGGAAATATATAGTAAAACAAAACCATACCCATTACAGTTGTAACAATACGAAGATATCTGTTTTATTTAATTAAAAAAAATTATTTAACAAATATTTTTTTAAAAATTCAGTGAGTCTTACCTGAAAAGTACATATTCTATGTAATTGAATGAACCCATAGACTTGTCTAACTTAGATAACATTACATAACATGTCATCATTCCTGGAATATGGAGATAAAAGCACAGGTATGTAATACAAGTTTACAAAAGTAAGTATTATCTATTTATGTGCTGTTTTTAAGTGTAACCTTTAATGTGAATTATTAGGTATTATCTCAAGTAGTATACAATATAGTTTTAATTAAATAAAAAAAAAGTAATTGTATGTGTGTTTGTATATATTTTGCAGATCATTTATTCAAAAAAAGTCGGTTAAGCTGTAGATTTCGGGCCAAAGTTTTTTATATAATGATATTTATAAGATTTTAATTACTGATTACAACTATTAAATTACAATTAACATTAGATATCCTAAACTAAGTATAATCTAAACTTAAATTAAACGTATCTTAAACTAATTTATAATTGAATTTATAATTTACATTATCGGTAATTGTATTTAATAAAACTATGAATTATATTACAATATCAATACATTAAACATTATATTTAATATAATAAATATCAGTATTACATTTGGGTAAGAGATCTACAGCCCAACCAAAAAAGTCATATATATATATACCTCCGATCATAAAAAACGTATCGATTAGATAAATATTAGTTATGAACATATATTTTGATGACCAGACCATTTCGGAACCGACCGAATTGGTGGCCTCTTTTGCATTCAGAGGTATAAAGTCGATCTGATGTAAGTGTATTAGTAAAACACAATATGAAAGAACCGATCGGAGACCGTCCAGAAAAGCAAACCGATTGTTAGGATTACTGTTTATGAATAAACTTTTGAAATTAGATATCAATGAAAACGATTGATTCAATTGAACACCCAATCGATCATTTTTGTGGTTATTATGTGAGCATATTATGCGAAAAAACTCATTTAATGTTGATTTCACTGATAAAATGATTAATATAACAAATATTATTCTGAAATATAAAAAAACAATAATTTAGTTAATTACATAAAATTTTTATTTAAAAATAAATATTTTTTATTTGTATATAATTTTTAAAAAAATATTTATACTTACATTGCAACCCATTGATGAAAATCCGGTTTAATAGGTTTGTCCACTGAATCACATTCAGGTGAAAATACGACCGGCATATGTGTTATCGGATATATAACTGAATAATTTAAAAACAAATTAATTTCAAAAATATTTATTAATAATATTTACAAACCTTTATTCATAGCGTATTCAATATCTTGTATTTTACATGTGTTGGGCAAACAAATACCGATCGGTAAATGGCTATCAAATGTCTTGCCGTAAGACATAATTGCAATAAAATCGGCGACCATTTCTCGGGTGATTTGAAACGCTTTTATTCTAACCGTTCTGTTGAAGTCATCGGTGGTAGACTTGTGATGAATATCTCTAAGTTTCTCATTATATTTAATAATATTAATCTCTTTGTTCAGCTGTTCATATGTATCGCCTTTGGCTTCTATGTTGACAATACCGACCCAACAGTATTGTCCCCTAATATGCTGTCCACTCGAATCGTGAGTGCTTTCTAAGCTTAGGCACTCATCGTATCCAATTGATGGTGTGTTTAACTGATTTAGACCAGATATAGGTGCCGGGAATGTCTGTATGACTATAGTTTAATATATTTATAAAAAAATAGATAAAATTATTAATATTTTAAATATCAATATAATCAAAATTTATCTTTTGAAAAAATATTATATTAAAATTAGTAGTATTATTATAGTATTAGTAGTATTAATATTAGTAGTAGTAGAGTAATATATAATAATATCATACATTAACAATATAATGTGATAATTGTTTCATTTATTATTATAAAACACATACAATTTAGTGCCCATTTTTTCCTGTCTTTCACAGCCGATCCTAACTTTATCAACGAAGATAAGCAATCATTTGGTAAATCAATTTCCATCAATAGTTCACTGAAACGAGCCGTCAATCGGTTGATAATCGGTTCATATATTTTGCTGACATTTTTGGCAAAATCAGACAAACGATTAAACCGATCAATAGTTTGGTTAATGTGTCCAACTTTTTGATAAATTTGCGATCGATTAACCACAGAATAGTCATCGGGAGTAAGAGATTCAAACAAATTGTCTAATAATCTATTTAATGAACATTTATCGGGCAAAGAGTATACATTTTCCGTGCATTTTGTCAAAATTATAGTATAAAATATAGTTAATATAAACAAGTTATTACAATTCATGATTAATAAAATAAATATATTGTTTACACAATATAATATGCAAAACAAATAAATGGATTAAGTTTTAACCTTTAAATATATGCAAAAAACTATAGTTTTGTTTTTTAAGGTTTTTTGTATCACATAAAACAGTTTTATTATTTGAGTTAATAAATCTTGTTTATAAATTTCAAAATATATTATTCACATAAAATTGTCATTATATTGTTTTATTTATTATTTTTCATTTCAAGTAAATTTATATTTTTTAGTCAGTAAATACTATAAACTCTTCAATATAATGAAATAATAATATTATTAATTAAAAGACTATTCACTCAAATCGTTAATACTTTCTATACATATGCACTCACCATAAAACTGTGTTTTACTTTAACATACTTTAACATAAGTTTATAAATTTTATAAACCATAAAATAAAAGCATTTAAATTCAATTAAAAATATGCAATATTTTTGTATATAAAATTTCTTATAATCATGAATATAATCTATAAAATTTATTATTTTTATTTAAATATAAGTCAAATTTATTAATAATCAGTAAATACTATAAATTTTTAATAAAAATTTTAATTTGTATGATAAATGTCCATAAAATGTTTTTCAATAAAAATATAAATATTTGTAATTTTAATTTACAAATATATATATAACAAAATGGAAGAATAAAATCAATTATTAAATTTGAATAATTTTAAAGACTTTTATTTTCTTCTTTTTGTTGATTTCTTGGTTTTCTTTCTAAACTTGACCTTAAAATTGACAACAAATTAGCCGTCGGAGCGCTTATTAGCAAATAAAACGGTATCGAAATTATTAAAGTTATTATATAATCAGCCAAAGACATTGTCCACTGATATGAATATATAAAATATTAAATAAAAATTATTATTATTATTATGACTTTATTATAATTAGTAAAAATTTTTCAAAATGTATAAACAATAACTAACCACATAATAGTGTGTATAAACCACTTGATTTCGTGCAATACTAACGCGATAAAACATACTAAATATATGCAACTAAAAATACAAATTAATTAGTTATATAATAAAATTGGTAAATAATCATATAATAATTTTTGATATATTTAAATTACTTTAATATTTGTGCTAAATATATTATTAATAAATAATTAATATAAATACAAACCAAAGATATTTCAAGCGATAAATTTGTGGTAAATGTAAATCCTTTCCAACCGAGAGTTTTGTTAATAAAATCTGTTATTTTTATAGATTAATAAAAACATAATGACATTACATTTATTATATATAATTAAGATTTTAATTGATAACCTGCTCGACCAGTAGCACAGGCATAAAAAGCCCAAAACCAACCAATAGTATACATATATTTAGCAAATAATATAAATAGAAATATTTCTTCATTTGAATGCTTATAGTATTTATGCAACAATAGGTTTGTCCAATAAAGTGAACCCATAGTCAATGTCCACGTTGTCAGCCATAACAATGTTTCACCGATTCGGCCACCGAAATATAGGTTGGGTTTATTACGGATCAAATAACCGCATAAAATACCCAACATATAGGTACTGATGTGTGTATCGGCCTTCCAGTAGTGTTGAATCACAGCTCTAGTCATATCCCATAGACTAATATAATTTGGTAATTCAAGAAAGTGTGGCATATCCCATATATATTTTGGTGCTAGTAATAAAAAACTACCCAATCCTAATGACATGAATAGACCCCACCAAACAGCTATACGTGGATAATGATACTGAACGAGAAAAGCTACCGGTGCTATCAGAAATATTTGAAACTCAGCAGAAACATACCTGATATTAAAAAAAAAAACTTTTATTATTATTCTGTTTAATAAATAAGTAACTCATTTGATAATTTTTAATTTATATGATACATACCAACCGCTAGGATTGCACTGTAAATTAAAATGTAATTAATAGTAATAAAAAGTGTTTTTCAGAAAAATATATAACAATATATACCAAATATTTTTCAGGTGGTGACACATTAAAATTGCTAATCATTGTTAATACAGAAAACCAATTATCACGACACGGGAGATATAATGCACTCGTTATAAATAACCAATTAGGTCCTAATTAAAAATATTTTTATAATATTAATTTACAGTTTTAATTGACATTTATTAGATTATCATTATTACTATTACTATATTATTACCATTTCCTAAAATTGGAAATATAAAATAAAGCAAAACAGCGCCCATTACTGGTGTTACTACACGAAAATATCTGTTTTTAATTAAAAAAAAAATATTTAACAAATTTGTTTTATTACTAAAAAGTTAATAAGTTTTACTTGAATACTACATATTGTATGTAATTGAATGAACCCTTAGACTTGTCTAACTTAGAAAACATCACATAAGAGGTCATCATTCCTGAAATATGGAGATAAAAGTACAGGTATTTTAAATTTAATGTTTTATTTGTAATTATTATGTTTGTAATGTATGTATGAACTGTTAAATCATACCTCCAATTAAGAAAAACGTATCAATTATATGATAGTTAGTTATATACATGTATTTTACTGACACAATCAATTGGGATCCGACTGAATTGGACGCTCTTTTTGCATGTATTGGCAGAAAGTCTATCCAATTGGTGTGTATTAATAAAACACAAAATGCAAGAATAGTTCGGAGACCGTCCAGAAAAGCAAACCGATTGTTAGGATTACTGTTTATGAATAAACTTTTGAAATTAGATATCATTGAAAATGATAGCATCAATTGGACGCCCAAATTGTCTTTAATGTTGTTTTGTGACCACATTATGCGCCACAACTCATATAATGTTGATTTTACTGATAATAGTATTAATACTAGAAATATAATTCTGAAAAATAGACATTTATTTATTTTATTATCAAAACATACATCAAATAATTAAACAATTTATAAATAATAAATAAAACATGAAATATTTATACTTACATTGCAACCCATTGATGAACATCCGGTTTAATAGGTTTGTCCACTGAATCACATTCAGGTAAGAATACGACCGGCATTTGTGTTATCGGATATATAACTAAAGTTTTTTTTAAAAATTATAATTTAATAATTATTTGGTAATAATATTTACAAAAACCTTTATTTATAGCGTATTCAATATCTTGTATTTTACATGTGTTGGGCAAACAAATACCGATCGGTAAATGGTTGTCAAATGTCTTGCCGTAAGACATAATTGCAATAAAATCGGCGACCATTTCTCGGCTGATTTGTAACGCTTTCATTCTCATTGTTCGGTTGAAGTCATCGGTTCCATAATTGTCATGCATTTTACGAATTTTTTCATTTAATTTAATTAAATTTATTTCTTTGTTTAGCTGTTCATATGTATCGCCTTTGACTTCCATATTGACAATACCGACCCAACAGTACTGTCCTCTAATAGACTGTCCACTCAAATCGTTAGTACTTTCTATACTTAGGCACTCATCATAACCGATCGGTGAAGTACTTCCCTGTATTAAACCAGATTTAGGTGTTGGGAATGTCCGCAAAACTTATATAAATACAAAAAATGTGGTGTTATTTAAATGTAAATTTAGTTAGTTTGATATAAAACATACAATTTAGTGCCCATTTTTTCTTGTCTTTCACAGCCGATCCTAACTTTATCAACGAAGACATGCAATCATTTGGTAAATCAATTTCCATCAATAGTTCACTGAAACGAGCCGTCAATCTATTGACAATCGGTTCATATATTTTGCTTACATTTTTGGCAAAATCAGAAAAACGATTAAACCGAACAATAGTATGATTAATGTGTCCAAATTTTTGATAAATTTCCGATCGATTGGCCACAGAATAGTCATCGGGAGTAAGAGATTCAAACAAATTGTCTAATAATCTATTTAATGAACATTTATCGGGCAAAGAGTATACATTTATTGTGCATTTTGTCAAAATTATAGCACAAAATATAGTTAATTTAAACAAGTTATTACAATTCATGATTAAATAATAATTTTTATTTACACAATAGAATATTAAAGATAAATAAAATTATTACATAAATATTTAAGTAAATAACTACAGTTTTATTTATTTAAAGGTTTTTTTTATTTAATATAAAATAATTTTATGAAATATATTTTGAAATATCTTATTTACATAAAATTTTTCGTTTATTTTAAATAAATATTTATTAGTAAATAAAAATCATATTATATTATTAATCAGTTTCTAATAGTTTAATAGTTGATGTAATAGTTTAACATAATATAATTGTTGTTGAAATAAATAGATATTTATATAATAGATATATAAATATATAAATAGACAATTCAATGAATATATAATTTGAAAATAATATTGCTTAATATTGTTTTTATGTATTAAAAAATATAATAACATTTATTATATATAATTTATATTTTAATTGATTACCTGCTCGACCAGTAGCACAGGTCATATAGGAACAAATGTGTTGATCAGAGCCCAGTACTGTCCCATATATACTAACATTTGGTGGAAATTCAATAATATAATTAATGTGCCAAATAAATCGTTTAGCCACTAGAAAGAAACCATCCAATCCTGATAAACATAAAGTTCCACCAAATGGCTGTACATAGATAGTGATATTGAACGAGAAAAACTACCGGTGCTATCAAAAATATTTAATCTAAAAAATATAATCTACCGGAATATGCAGTCGTTATTAATAACAAATTAGGTCCTAATTAAAATAATTTTAATAAAAAATATTAATGGATATTTTTTGTATAAAGATTATTATCATTATAAGTAGTAATAGTAGTAGTTTATTACCATTGCATTTTTAAACGACAATTTTTGCCAAATTTGAGTAAATTTCCAATAAATTACCAATAAATTCCCAATAAATTCCCAATAAATTCCCAATAAATTCCCAATAAATTCCCAATAAATTCCCAATAAATTCCCAATAAATTCCCAATAAATTCCCAATAAATTCCCAATAAATTCCCAATAAATTCCCAATAAATTCCCAATAAATTCCCAATAAATTCCCAATAAATTCCCAATAAATTCCCAATAAATTCGTATTATAAAATCCGGTGCTATCAAAAATATTTGAAAATCTGCCGGAATATGCACTCGTTATTAATAATCAATTATGTCATAATTAAAATAGTTTTGATTAAAAATATTATTAGATAATTTTTCATAGAGATTATTATTATTATAAGTAGTAGTAGTAGTAATTTATTATCATTTCCTATAATTGGAAATTTATAGAAACACAAAAACATACCAATTACTGGTGTAACTACAATAAGATATAATTATTTTTTTTATTAATAAAAGTCTTAAATGAAAGGTATAATACATAATGTATGTAATTGAATGAACCCATAGACTTGTCTATCTTGGATACCATTAGATAACATGTCATCATTTCTGAAATATGAAGATAAAAGCACTGGTATTTGTAAATGTTTATATAACGGGAATATTCTTCTTATAACTACTTTATTTACAAAAATAATTATTATGTATTTAGGTGTTTATGTTTTAAGTGTTACCTCATAATTATTTTTATGATAATCATTTGACATTTGATTCACTGTAATTCATAAAAAATTCATAAACATTTAAATATTTGTAATTTTAATTTACAAAAAGATATTACAAAATTAGAGAATAAAATCAATTCTTATATTTAAAAATTAGTATTTTGAAAAATAATATAAAAAATATTTGAATAATTTTAAAGACTTTTATTTTCTTCTTTTTGTTGATTTCTTGGTTTTCTTTCTAAACTTGACTTTAAAATTGATACCAAATTAGCCGGCGGAGCACTTATTAGCAAATAAAACGGTATCGAAATTATCAAAGTTATTATATAATCAGCCAAAGACATTGTCCACTGATATGAATATAGAAAATATTAAATAAAAATTATTATTATGAATTTTCAAAATGTTTAAACAATAACTAACCACATAATAGTGTGTATAAACCACTTGATTTCGTGCAATACTAACGCGATATAACATACTAAATACATGTAACTAAAAATACAAACTATTATAATTAGTTATATAATAAAAAGGTTAACAATTGTCAAATTATACTATTTTTCTTGTATATATTTAGATTTATATTACTAAATATTTGCCGATATATGTGCTAAAATATTGTAAATAATTATAAATACAAACCAAAGATATTTCAAGCGATAAATTTGTGGTAAATGTAAATCCTTTCCAACCGAGAGTTTTGTTAATAAAATCTGTTGTTTTTATTATTTAAAAAAACATAATGACATTACATTTATTATATATAATTTATATTTTAATAGACTACCTGCTCGATCAGTAGCACAGGCATAAAATGCCCAAAACCAACCAATAGTATACATATATTTAGATAATGAAATAAATAGAAATATTTCTTCATTTGAATGCGTATAGTATTTATGAAACAATAGGTTTGTCCAATAAAGTGAACCCACAGTCAGTGTCCAAGTTGTCAGCCATAACAGTGTTTCACCGATTCGGCCGCCGAGATATAGGTTGGGTTTCTTACGGATCAAATAACCGCATAAAATACCCAACATATAGGTACAGATGTGTGTATCGGCTTTCAAGTAGTGCTGAACCATAGCTCTAAACATATCAAATAGACTAACAAAATTGGGTAATTCAATAAAGTGTGGCATATCCCATATATATTTTGGTGCTATTAGAAAATAACCACCCAATCCTAATGTCATGAATAGACCCCACCAAACAGCTATACGTGGATAATGATATTGAACGAGAAAAGCTACCGGTGCTATCAAGAATATTTGAAACTCCGCCGAAATATACCTTATTTTTTAAAAATAATTTTTGATTTTTTAAATATTTAATTAATAATAATCAACTTTTAATTTATACATACCAACCACTAGGATTGCACTGTAAATCATAATGTAATAAATAGTAATAATTTTGTCATAAATTTATATATACAATAATAATAATAATAATAATAATAATAATAATAATAATAATAATAATAATAATAATAATAATAATGTATACCAAATATTTATCAGGTAGTGACAGATTATAATTACTAATCATTGTCAATACAGAAAACCAATTATCACGACATGGTATGTAGAATGCACTGGTAATTTGTAACCAATTAGGTCCTAATTAAAATTATTTTGAAAATTTTAAACACTGTATTAATTTACATTTATTAGATTATTATCATTATTATTATTACTATCAATATATTATTACCATTTCCTAAAAGTGGAAATATAAAGTAAAGCAAAACAGCGCCCATTACTGGTGTTACTACACGAATATATCTTTTTTTAATAAAAAAAATTTATTTAACAAATTTGTTTTATTACTAAAAAGTTAATAAGTTTTACTTGAATACTACATATTGTATGTAATTGAATGAACCCTTAGACTTGTCTAACTTGGAAAACATCACATAAGAGGTCATCATTCCTGAAATATGGAGATAAAAGTACAGGTATTTTAAATTTAATGTTTTTAGTGGTAAGTAATTATTATTATTATTATATATAAACTGTTTAATTGTTCAATAAACCTATACCTCCTATCAAGAAAAACGTATCAATTAAATGATAATTAGTTATATACATGTATTTTGATGACCACATCATTTCGGCTCCGACTGAATTGGTGGCCATTTTTGCATGTATTGACAGAAAGTCGAGCCAATTGGTGTGTATTAGTAAAACACAAAATGCAAGAACCGATCGGAGACCGTCCAGAAAAGCAAACCGATTGTTAGGATTACTGTTTATGAATAAACTTTTGAAATTAGTTATCAATGAAAAAGATAGCATCAATTCGACGCCCAAATTGTCTTTAATGTTGTTTTGTGACCACATTATGCGCCACAACTCATATAATGTTGATTTTACTGATAATATTATTAATACTAGAAATATAATTCTGAAAAATAGACATTTATTTATTTTATTATCAAAACATACATCAAATAATTAAACAATTTATAAATAATAAATAAAACATGAAATATTTATACTTACATTGCAACCCATTGATGAACATCCGGTTTAATAGGTTTGTCCACTGAATCACATTCAGGTAAGAATACGACCGGCATTTGTGTTATCGGATATATAACTAAAGTTTTTTTTAAAAATTATAATTTAATAATTATTTGGTAATAATATTTACAAAAACCTTTATTTATAGCGTATTCAATATCTTGTATATTACAAGTGTTGGGCAAACAAATACCGATCGGTAAATGGCTATCAAATGTCTTGCCGTAAGACAATACTGCTATAAAATCGGCGATCATTTCTCGTGTAATTTGAAACGCTTTCATTCTCATTGTTCGGTTGAAGTCATCGGTTCCATAATTGTCATGCATTTTACGAAATCTTTCATTTATATTAATAATATTAATCTCTTTATTCAGCTGTTCATATGTATCGCCTTTGACTTCCATACTAACAATACCGACCCAACAGTACTGTCCTTTAATAGACTGTCCACTCAAATCGTTAGTACTTTTTATATTTAGGCACTCATCATAACCGATCGGTGGAGTACTTCCTTGAATTAGACCAGATTTAGGCGTCGGTCCGATCCGTAAAACTTATATAATAAAAATTTATTATTTATTTTATTACATCTTTTTTAATTATTAATATGATATTAATATTATTTATTGCTTATTACAAGTATTTTCACATAGATTCAAAAATGTTATATTTTATTAGTGAAATTTTAATTATTTTTCTATAAAACACATACAATTTAGTGCCCATTTTTTCTTGTCTTTCACAGCCGATCCTAATTTTATCAACGAAGACATGCAATCATTTGGTAAATCAATTTCTATCAATAGTTCACTGAAACGAGCCGTCAATCTATTAACAATCGGTTCATATATTTTGCTGACTTTTTTGGCAAAACTCGACATACGAGTGAAC